TGGTGGAAGAATAAAGTATATGTAATTGATGTAGGACAATCTATTGAATTATCACATCCTCAATCAAATGATTTTTTGAGAATGGATTGTGTTAATATTTCAACATATTTTAATAAGATTGGAATACATACATTATCTCCTAAAGAACTTTTTTATACTATAACAAATGCTTCAATCAAAGAAAATAAAATTGAAAGTATTATTAAAGAACATTTTAGAACTAATTGGGATCCAAATGATGAAGTCTTTTTAAATTCTTTTATTCCAAGTTCTTTACATGACTTAAATGAACCAATTCGTGATGTTTTTCAACCAAAGAAAATGACTGGTGTTTTGTTTATGCCAAATGCAATTCCTAATCATGTTAAACTTGCACCATTACAAATTACTGTAAATGATGATTCTGCTTCTGATTCAGAAAAAGAAGAAATTCAAAGAAAACGAATGAAAAAATTGAGTAAAAAACAAAAAGAATTATACAAAGACCAACTTGAAGAAGAAATGAGAGAGGCAGAGAAATTGGTTGATCTTAGAGAAATACAACTTGCTAAAGAAGCAGAAGAATTAAAAAAACAAATAGAACAAACAAACAATGAATTAATTGATAAAAGTATTGACACTACTGAAGACGAAGAAGAAGAAGAAGAAATGGACAGTGAAGAATATAAAGAATTTGTCAAAAAATTAAAAGAAGAAAAGAAAGTTGATAAAGAAGAAGAAAAAAAATTAAGAAAAGAACATAAAAAGCAATATAAAATTGAAAGAAGAGAGAAATTAAAACATAAAATGCCAAAGAAAAAGAAAGAACAATTAATTAAACATTCAAAACGAAATCAAACAAAATAAAAATAATATTATTGTTTTATATCTCATAAATTTTATTATTTTATTTTTCATTTTATTTTTAATAATTTTTTTATTAAAAATAGTTATGAGTTATAATACGTGGAAGATATCATTAAAAATGAAAAATCTTTTCAAAAAGTTGAAATTCATCAGAAATAAATTGAATATTGAATAGAAGTTTAAATAAAAAAGTACTTTTAATTGAAATTAAATGAACAAAAAAAACACATAGAAATAAATTTAAAGTTCTGTTCAACTAAATTTAATCATTATGGAGAGATTCATTCAAACAACGGCATTTAAAAAGCAAGCAGAAGTATTAAAAGAATTTGACAAGGCATTAGAAGAGTGTGAAAAAGAAACGTTTAAAGAGATAGATACAAAATTTAATTTTTGTAAATACCAAGAAGAAGTGTCCAAAGAACATCCAGTTGAGGATTTAACTCAAATGTACAATGAAATTAAATCGTTGATTAATTCAAAAGAAATTGCAATGCAAGAAGTAAGAAAACAATTAACAGAAATGGCATTAGCTTTCCAAAATTTAAAAGAGAACCTGAATAAAGAGTTTGAAGATTCACTTGAAATGAAAGAATGTTTAAATTATGTTGTAGAAAGAATTGTTGATGCAACTGAAGGAACAGTTGATGACCAAACATTTGTTCAAAAGAAAAAAGAAATTAGAGAAATGAAACAAGAATTGCCTGAAGGATATTTACCTAAAAGGATATTTAAATCAACTTGTAAACATATTGTAGAAGTATCAGGAACATCATTTAATTTAAAGTATATTCAAGAATGGACAGGACATAAGAACCATAATATAATTTTCGATTCAGATAAAGATGGAATACAAAGTGAAACATTTAACAATTGTCTTCTTAATAAAAAGAATATTGGAATTATTTATATTGATAAAAAAGATAATGTATTTGGTTATTATTCTCCTCTTGGAATAACAAAAATTGGAGATTATAATTATGATAATAATCACTTTATTTTCTCTTTAAAACGTGAACAATTTGAAACTGGAAAACAATTCTTTGCTAAAGACAATGTAAAGTGTGGTATTTTATTAAGAGAAGAGGATGATATTCTTTCTTGGTTAGGTAATAGTGATTTTGGTTTTGCTTGTTATAAACCAGGAAAAGATGAATCTTTTTTTAGAAAATTATCATTAGTCTATAATGATATTGATGATGTTTATTTAAATGATACTAATTATCCTATTGAATTTGGTGTTAAGAGAATTGTTGTTATGCAATTCATTAATTAATTTAATTTAAAATTACTTTAATATTTTTCATTTCTTTTTTTACTCTGTTATAATCATTTATAATAAATTCTTTTTTACTTCTAAATAATATTTTATTAAATTTATTATAAAATAACTTAAAATTCTTTTTATTAAAGAATCTATGAAATTCTTTTTAGTTCTTCTTATCTATTTAATATATTAAACAAGAAATAAAACAAAGCAATAAATAATAACCCTCATGCCTTTTCTAAAATTGATTCAAAGAGTTCTTTCTTTTCTAGCATCAATTTATAGACTTGTTTCATATTTTGAACAGAGACATCACAAGCAGCTGCGATTCTTAGTTCTAATTCTTGTGTTAAACATTTTTCAGTTTCACACACAAAACAAATTACAACAGCAGCAACAGTATTTGGTTTTTTTCCTTCAAGGAATTTTTGAGCATCTTCAGCAATGACTTGACATTTATAAGTATATTTACCAACACCAACTGCATTAGTGTATTTAGAAATGAAAGACTCAAGATTGTTAGTGCTTTTCTTACCTAATAACATTCTTAATTGTTTATAACTTTTGGTAGCACTTTTCATCTCCCATCCTAGTTGAGTGACAATATCTCTTAATGTCATATGAACACCTTCTTCCTGACATACCATTAATACAATTCCTTCAACATTTTTCTTTTTCATTCTTCCTTTAAATTCATTTGCATGTTCTGTCATTAATTCTTGTAATACTTTCATTGCATGTTCAACTTGACTATTATCAAGTTGAAGTTTTTTAAATGAATCAATAAAGTCTCTTCGATATCCAGTTACTTTCATATTTTGTGCATTAATTTGTTGAGATGAAGCAGTACAACCTTTAAGCATTGTTGAGGTATCTTGTAATGTTCCAGAAAATGTAACTCTACAACGCTCATCATTCCCATCAAAACTTCTCCATTCTTGGCCTTCATCTAAAACTTTATCTAAAACTCTTTGACAGTATTTACAATAATATTGTCCATTCTTATGATCTTCTATTGCAACACATTGTTTCCCACTATTTCTAGGATCTTCACATAATATTTTACGACGTGAATTGAACATGTTATTTTAATTTAATTTTAAGTAGTTCTTTTTTTCTCTTTAACCTTTTGTGTCCAATTCATTGACTTTTTTTTAATTTTTAATTAAATAGTTCATTCAGTGATTTTTGTTTTTTAATGTCTTTTTTATGATTTTTTCTTATATATTTAAAGTATTTTTATAATTTATTATTTCTAATTAATATTTTTAATTCTGTTTTATTTTTTTAGTATTATCGTTTTTTATTATTCATTTTTCTTTTTGTTCTTTATCGTTTTTTTTTTAAATTGTATTTTCCCAAATTTCTCTATTTAATTCTGTATTGGTGAGATAAACAAGAAAAGAAATAACTCATTTGAATTATACGAAAAAAAAATATAACTAAAAAAATTTTTCTTATTGAAATCAATACATCTAGCAAAAGTAATTCTTTAATACGAAATATAATAAACACTTA